GATGCAGATGGACAGTGTGTTTTAGACGTTGTCACTTGCCAGCTGAGTAACCTTGTGCAAGCTGCTTAGCCTCCCTGAGCCTGTTTGCCCACCTGTGAAGTGGGTCTGACAGTAGCTCTGATGGCATTGATGAGAGATTAAATGAGTTGACACACTGGGAGCACTTTGTCTTTCATGTGGGGTTCCCATGAAAGGTGCTGTTTGAACAGAAGGTCTCACTGCTTTCTCACTGCAGTTCATACCTTTCTACTAAAGCAATGGCAGGGAGAGTGAACATATACTTCCATGAGTGGGCACGCTCCTGTCACGTCTCTGAAGTCTTCTCTGCATTTCACTCTGTTGTACATTCATTTATGGTAACAGCATGTTTTCGATTACATGTGGAGTCGCTTATATATTTTCCGGTTATTAGACACAGGGACCTCCCGGGGATGGTGTAGTCCCTTGCACTTCTGCACGCACCACACGGCCTTCTCGGTGTATCTCCCACAGGCTGACAGGATACGGGATCCACCATTGCTTCGCAAGGAGCATGATGGGCCACGAGGTTAAGGTGCCACTGCTGGAAAACTTCTACGCTGACTACTATACCACGGCCGGCATTGCCCTGGCATCCTGCCTGGCCATGTGCGTGGTGGTCAGGTTCCTGGGGCGGCGAGGAGGGCTGCTGTTCTTCATGATCCTCACTGCCCTCGCCTCCCTCCTGCAGCTCGGGCTCCTCAACCGTGAGTGGGGCAAGGCTGGTGGGGCCGGTGGGGTGCGGGGTTGGTTGGAGGGATGGCATAAAACAAAGTGTGTTTGAAAGGCTGGAAGACTTGAGAGCACTTTTCAGTGACCTGTTATTCCAAAATTAACAGTTTGGTAAGAACAGCTCCAATGGGAATGTGGACAGTGACTGCCTTCCTTCCTCCTTCCCCATCCCAATCCTGGGGCTCCAACTCAGGCCTTCCTGGTTGCACCATGACTCCAGGCACACAAGGCCCTCAGGGTCCTGGGGGATGTGGATTCACTAATGGCCAGACTACCTCTTTGTAATACATCACACGACGAAGAACTTTTTTTTTCCTGTGAAATTAAGGGGGAAATAAATACATTTTGACACTCTTGCATTGGGACACTGCTTTTCAGTGGACATTCCCAAGTTCATCAGCTTGTCTTTGGGCCAAAGAATTTCTCATTAAATGTTTAAAATAATTTAAAGAAAAGCTAAGCAAGCCATGTAGCTCCTCCAGCTATAATAGGCGAGCTCAGGACAGCTCCTTGTAAATAAACACCCAGCTCTGTGCGTGGAAAAAGCAGCAGGCATCTCTTTGACCCTCGCACAGGGAAACATGAATGAGCAGGGCAGCTGAGCCCTCTTCTCACCCAGGCACAGTCCTCCTGGGATAGGCGGGGACACTTCGGGGACACATGACACTCACTGATCGTTCTCTCCTTCACAAGGAGACCTAACTCAAGCTGTGGGGATTGTGCTCAGTGACCGTCCAGTTGTACCATAGATCACAGCCACTGAGAAAACAAAAAGGCTTCTAATATTTTAGGTTTGAGAGTTGTGTTCAAGGTACAAGAGTCAGTATCTAAAACAGAAGGAAGAGAAAGAAAAGGCTCACACCTTTCTCAGCCTTATTGTACAAACTGGATTATAGAATAGCTGGTTTCAACCTCAGGAGCCATCTTGCTAACTTGGGCAAGTTCTCATGCATTCCACATCTTACTGGGAGACTGGTCTTTGTTTCAGCTGTGACTGACAAGGAAACCGATAAGTGGTGTGTGTCTCCCAACCATCCTGTCACCCTCACCCCCACCCCGTGGCGCCTCTTAGAGCTCACATGGTTCAAGAGAACATGCCAGGGAGCAGCAGCCCCTGGGAATGTCACAGTGCTCTTTGTCATCAAGCAGGAATGCCACAGGAATTTCATGCAGAGGACAAGCAGCTGTGAGGATGAGAGCTGGAAGCACAAGAAATGCCACCTAGCCGGTCTGTCCCTGCAGCACTCACAGCACTCATGCTCCCTTGAGCACAGACCAGCCGTGAATAATTTTATACACAATGAAATTAACCCTTTGGCTTGAGGTCAGGGAGGTGTGCTAGACTCTGTCTGAAGAGCTCAGTTTTCTCGCCATGATCTGAGGCCAGTAGGGCTTTAGCCTGCAGTTCAGAACACAAAGAGCTTTGTTTAGTCAAGTGCTAATGCCAGTGCCCTGGGACTGTCCCCAAAGATTTTCTCCCTCTCTCTGACACTCTGGCCCCAGACCTGGAAGGGAGTTAACTGAGAAACAAGTCACATGGAAACACACAGTAGTCGCTTCATACCTAAAGTGCTTTCTTTCTTCCTCTTTTCCCACTTTCTTCATCCTCGTCCATGTGGGTGCCACCATCTCCGGGGCCCAGTGATTGGAAAATACAGCCAGCATCCAGACTCAGGTGAGCCCCAAATGCTCCTGCATGTGTGTCATCATCTTTGTATTGCATCCAAATGGGCGTTTTCATAAACACTCACGGACCTGTGGTTTCCCTCCCTCTCTTTCTCCTCCTCCTTACCCTCCAAGAGTTGCAGCTGAAGTTGGCCGTAGGTTGGACACTATAAGCATACATTTGTGTTCTCTACTCCTTCTTGCCTAGAAAGAGCGGCTTGTTCCCCTGTTTGCACCCAGCTTGCACGCATGCCCTCGCCTCTCCCCCTGGCACCAGTACTGGCAGTCAGCACAGGCCCTTGGCTGCTGCCCACACAGTGATGCACTTTGTCTTACGGACAGTGCCTGGGCGAGATCAGAAAGCCCAGGAAGTGTTGGAGGCCCAGCTGACCATGCTGCCAGGGGAAGCTGCTGTCCCCTTGTGAATCACGCAAGCCCGCTGCTCTCCACCATGGGGACAGCAGAGCCGCTTCCATGCACCTAAGTGCTGCTGGTTACACATGCCTGGTCTGACCCCAGCCCATGCCACCAGGGCCTTCCACTGTGAGAGCCCTGAGGTCCTGATGCAGCTTTGCAGGGACCTGAACTATGTTCCAAATGTATGACCCCCAACAGCATGCCGTTGCTGCACACTAGACACCACCTTGGCTTGAGGTCAGGCTCAGGTGCCATTTGTAAGATGCTTGGGTTGGTTGAGCCCCTTTCCCTCCAGGCCCATAAATTCTCCTGTTGGGGTTATTTGTGTTTTTGTTCCCTTAAATCAAGCTTAAGATAGCCTGTCCTGTGCATTGGACAGGGCAAACCTAAGGCCCTAATAGCCAGGGCTCACTGAAATACAGAGACCTTTCTCTGGAACCAATGTGGAAGGCTGGGACAGGAGACCACCAGCCTCCCTTCCTGCCAGGCTGGCTTGTGGCCTAAGGAATTCTGGCAAAGTCACCATGTGCTCCAGCATTCAAAACCCACAAGGGACTCTCAGGAACCCGGGCAAAGTCTTCTGCCAAGAGGGTCTGACCTTCTGTGTCAGGAGGTGCTGTCCATCTTCAGAGGGAACTGAACACCCTGGTCTGCACCTGAAACTAGAGAGTGGGGAAGAGGGAAGACCATTTGCATGCTCCCAGGCCTCCCTCTTCCCCTCTCCCCCTGTTCTCTCCACCCTGGCCCTTACTAGCTTCCTTTCCCCTTCCCTTCTGACCACCCTTCACCATCCCCTTCTGATTCTCCCTCAGGTATGAGTGACAGCGTCAAGGACAAATTCTCCATCACGTTTTCCATTGTGGGCATGTTTGCCTCCCATGCGGTGGGAAGCCTCAGTGTGTTCTTCTGTGCAGAGATCACCCCCACAGTAATAAGGTACGTAATGGGAGATGCCCCACAGGACGTATTCTTAGGGCCCACGGAGGGGGTGCCTGTTTCTTATTCACCAGGCTCCTGGTGAATTAACCCACATCAGCTTTGTCCCACCCTGGCCTCTGGACAAGGGTGATGCACCACTGAGCATGTGAGCTTTAAGATGGGGTGCTCCACCCTGCCCCTGAGGCAGCTAAGCATCAGGTGAGAACTTCACCCTCAGTCCTGTCCAGGCAGTAGCCAGAGGAATGGGGGAGAGCAGGAAACTTTTGGGGGTACAGGAAACATAGCAATGATTGGTAAAGGAAAAAAATCCGTAGATAACATACCCATACTTCATCTAAAATTAAATGCTGTCAACTCTTCTAAGAGGCCTCAATAAAAAAAAAAATCTATTTCAAAATAAAAACTGAAGTAAAAAGGACCTTATTTTTTTTACTGGCTTGAAAAGTTGATGTCACTAGTCCAAAGAAAGTCCTCACAGAGAGAAAGCCCAGGAAGTTATATCTTTGATTTATTTAACGACTATGTATCGTGAACCTACTGTGTTCAGGCAGTAGGCCCAGTGATCAGGACAACACAGACACAGCCCTGATGGAGTTTGTGGTTATTTCATGCTTTCCCGAGAGGCTGTGTTAACTTGTGCTTAGCAATTTTTGTTTTAGTTCTTGAAGCGAGGTTTGGTCCTTTCTGCTCCTGGCCCTGGGTAGTGGGTCCGGGGGGCGCTCACACCACTTGATGTTCCTAAGATTATAGCATAATAAAAGGGTTTGCCTTTATTTAAAAGGGCACCTATGAACTGCAAAGTCCTGTCTTTTTCCTATAATTACTGTGTGTGACTTACAGAAGAGTTCATCTTGATTTACTTTGAACTTTGTATGAGAATATCATTAGCATTTCTAACACATGCTTTCTTCAAATATAAATTGTGAATATGGGCAATTATTCACCTGTGAGATAAAACTCAGAAGTCAGCATGACAACACCCTTTCCACCCTCACTTTCCCACATGGGAAAACAAGTAGAGGCCAATACAGTTCAAGGTAGGATGTGTGCAGACTGATTATTTTAGCCCCAAGGTTCTGGGAAGGACTCTGGGAGAAGGCAGGTAGGTTCATGGACCCTCCCCCTTCCCACGTTCCCGTCGTCATGCTGACAGTGGGGTTTTCACATGACCTCATTTTGATTCATTCGCCTGGACGTTTATAATACAGGCCAAGCTTGAAGCTTCCTCAGTACCTGTGGAATAACATGCCACGGAATTGTATATTTAAGAAAAAAGCAGTTAAATGGCAAGGAATTCATCCTGTCCAACCCTCTGTCTAAGCCAAAGTGAAGAAGAGCCAAGCCTGAAGCTCATTTTATGCTAGAAGTTGTAAAATACGTTAGGCGGGCAGCAGCTCCCTCTGTCTTTTCTTTACCCAGTTAAACTTGCTCTACAAAAGATTACAGTAGAGGATTCTTTCAGTAGAACAGAAGTCAAGTTTACACCTCTGGCTTTTCCTCTGCCCTCTCCCAGCCTTTGTGTGATTATGGATGTTTCTCTGGGGTGGCCACCCCTTCACTCCTGTAGTGGGTAGACCTTGTTATTCACTGTGAGATTTTGCTTAAGAAGCTAAACTTAAGGAAATGCAGTATCCTTTTTTCTCTTTGATGCAAACCTGGAAAGATAATTTGGGGATAGAAATTCAACAAATATGTTCTCAACTTCAGCTTGCCAAGATGACAAACTAGAAAAATATTGGCCCCTCGGTGATGTCTTTGTACTTGTAGAGAATGAGAGGAAATTCAATCCAAAAGGGGGTCTTCCTAGCCAGGATGGAAGAATGTCTGGTGTTACTGATGAACCACTCTTCACACCATTTCCTTCAGAAGGCCATCTCTTCTTACACGTACCTTCAGGGACAGTTCCCACAGAGCACCTAGGACAAGCGTGGCTTTCTTACCCGCCGCCCCCACACTTCACACAGATAAATCCAGGGTAAGCTAGGATGGGCAACTTGCAGTCTGTGAGCTTCATTTTTCCTAATGCAAAACTAGCCTTTTTCTGCAATGCTGTATTAAAAACACACCTTCTGAACAAGAACAGTAGTACAGGTTAGGCTGTCAGGATTGATTACCTGCAAATAGGAGGATAAGAACCTTTCTGCACAAAAACTTGCAGAACTCCATTGTCCCAGAATGACAGCAACTCACCAGAGTCCTAATTAATGAATTATACTGTTTCATGAGATTCCATCCAGACTTTCTGTTGCAGAGAAGCATTTTCCTCCCACGCAGGCCCATCCAGATGCCATTCATGTATCATCAGCCGAGGCAACAGGTTCTTCTCGAATTCGCTTCTCAGGCTTCAGGAGCTGGTAACCGCAGGCAGATTGGGAAGGACCCTGGGTCTGCGGCACCCTCTCCCCTTTGGCTTGGACAGAAGTGGTCGGGGGTCAGTGTTGATCCAGAACCGGTTGGTGACTTTCTTGTGGCAGGTCATCTTTTCTACCCAGTGTCCACCTGAAAGCTGCGGGTGGGAGCCCCTCAGGCCTTTCACTGTCTTCTTGTCCCCTCACAAAGGGGTCGGGTAAGAGAAGAGGCAGGCACTGGTGACAAGCAGCCCATTGCATTCTCCCACAGTTCTTCACAGGTTCCCTCAGAGCTCTGGGCCTTGGCTGTTAATCCCCCACAATGTCTGAGCTCATCTGCTCCCTCCTGGTACCTTCTTCTGCTCTGCTCCCCCTCTTTCTTCTAGAGGCCGTCCCACTCCTTTCTTCTAGAAATGTTTCTTGGAATATGCCTTCTCTGGAAACTTCCTTCTCACTTGTCCCTGTTCCCACCTCAGGACTAAAAACCCAGGCCTTGATGTCCTCTGTTCTAAAGTTGCCTCAAGAACAGGCACCAAGGACAAAGATGCCTACGTTTAACATGACATCTGGAATGTGCTTAACTTCTTTTAAAATTTGTGTCTTAAAAATATGTATGTATATAATGTTTATAACAAATGCTCCTTGAGTGACCTGAAGCCGAGGAGATGAGGCACGCATGCTCCAAGTTAAGCAGCAGGATGAGCGACGAAGTGCAGAGGATGTACCTAGAGCTTAAGATTCAGGTCTTTAGCGTGGAGGCAAGAGCGGGGTGGGGCTGCGTGTGGTCCCAGGGGCTACTCTGCCCTAAAATGAGACTACTCGTGACCGCTTTATCCGGTGGTGATAATGGGGGAAGGGAAAGTATATGTCAAGGGTCTGGCCTCACGAAATGAAAACTGGTATTATTATTACTGCTGCCTGAATATTTTGGGCAGTTTTCTTTCTCTTAAAATTGATACAAATATTTGTTCATTCTTGACTTCACAAAAATCTAGTAAAGACAAACTAAGTAATCTAAAACAGGAAGTGAAAAATAGGAGATGTGTTTAAATGCTGGGATTCACAAGTGTAAGCTGAATGTGGAGATTCTGGAATTCATTCATTTGCTACTTTCAATAAGTTTCCCTGTATATGAGTCTTTCTATCATTAAAGAAATTTAAATATTCTTACTAGTAAAATAAAGATATCTAGTGGATGTTTAAATGTTTGTGCTCCTAAAGCAGAGAGGTAAAGCTTGCCCCTCCTCCGTTATCTTTTCTCTGTCAATTGAGGCTGGCTGCCGCTCTGATATTTAAACATGGGCATATGCTGCCCTCTACTGACAGCCTAGAGAAAAGCAGAAAAGTGCACAAAATCAGCAGTTTCGGAGAGGAAAATGAAGCTATCACCTTAAAACCAAGCATGTAATGATCCCATTCTCTAAACTGAGATTGCAAACAGAAAACACAAAGCCAAAAATGGCATACCATACCAAATTCTACCAAAATTGTTTCTAATCTTACTGAATAATTTTAAGGTATCCTTTATAGAAAACCAAACAGAAAATTGCTTTCATAGAAAAAAATATATAAAGATATATTGCACATTATATATACATGTGTACTTACATATATATGTAATTTTTTTAACGATCCACCTAATCCTACCAAAAATCAAATATATTTCATTTCATTTGACATAATTTATTAACATAATCTATCAATATGATAGAGTTCATTTGGCATGATGAAGGGAGACTTTTGTCTGGTACTGAGCACTGCTCCTTTAACCATGAATCCGTGCTCACCTTTCCTTGTGGGTCTGTGCATTCTACTTTCCTGCATATTAACCCATGTGTGGTTTTTACATGCACTGAGCAGGGTAAGTCTCTCGCTGCGTATCAGTGGCATCCACACTTAGTGGCAAGGTCAGGTAGAAACCTGGGAGGTTTCAGAGAAAATGAAGTCTTATTGGTATCAAAGGCCCGATGAAACACATCCATTATCCCTGGCATCGGATATGTCCCTTGCAAAATCCTGTGGCTTCCTGAAGTGGCCAGAACTACCAAAAATACTAAGTGGCTATTTTAGGTGTTCATATTATTCATCTTACAGACAGAGTCCATCCTCGACCTTGAAGGGTTCATAGACTAATAAGGCTGGAAGTAAGCATATGAACAAATACTATCAGAAAGGTGCAGAGTGTCTTTTTAGTTGTTCCGGGGTCCTCTGACTGGTAAAGGGGTTAGTATCTGGGAGACACTCCCCAAAATACCGCTGTTTCTCACTTGTGTCTCCTGGATGGCCCGGTCGCACAATGATGTGACTATTCCTATAGCACCTTCAGTCTCTACTTCGGCGAGAGGCGTTCTATACACAGTACCGATGACATCACAGCCTGGGTGAGAGGCGACTGTCTGTTTTCCTCCATGGCTAAGGTTAGGGAATTCTGTCACTCATTGAGTGTATTAGTTATCTACTTCTGTGTAACAAATTACCCCAAAACTTAGTGGCTTCAAACAATGCATGCGATTGTCTCACAGTTTCTGTGGGCAGGGGTCTGCATGGCCTAGCTGGGCCCTCGGCTTCAGGGTCTCACATGAGCTGTAATCAACTGGGGTAGAATGAGCCTTCAAGCTCATTCAGTAGTTGGCAGGTGTCTTAGTCCAT